ACCAATGTAGAAACCCAAGAAACAAAAGGGAAAGTTAATGAAAGATGTTAGTGGAGTCTCATTCACTGCCAGTAATGGGGTGTTGCACACAGGTTTCTTCTAAAATATTACAAAAGTTAGAATTTAAACTCATATGTTAATTCACAGAGGACTTTATGGCAAATTAGATTTTAAGCCTTCATCACAAATTTAAGCACATTTGTTAGGAAAAGAAGTGTATGTATGTGGAGATAAAGGAGAAAAATAAATCTAATTACCAAGGAAATATCAGAGATATATTGAGTCCCCATTATGTGCAAACAGTTAAAAAGAAGTATAAATCATCGAACTTCACAGCTGGGGATGTTCTCCGACTTTTCTTTCAGGTAGTAGACAAGATAAGTGGGGTGATGGGGGATTGCTAGGTCTCTAAAGACCCTACTAATTGGGCTAAATGGGGTGAAGATGAGAGCTAGTTCCATACCTTTGAATTCTGAAAGTCCAGGCTACTTAGCTCCTCTGAGATTTAGATAAGAAGCAAGCATTTTTTTAAAGAGAAAATAGGATTTAAATTTTTAAACGAAAAAATGTTTAGCGCTTCCCTGGTGGCGCAGTGGTTGAGAGTCCGCCTGCCGATGCAGGGAACACGGATTCGTGCCCTGGTCCGGGAAGATCCCACATGCCGCGGAGCGGCTGGGCCCGTGAGCCATGGCCGCTGAGCCTGCGCGTCCGGAGCCTGTGCTCCGCAGCGGAAGAGGTCACAACAGTGAGAGGCCCACGTACCGTCAAAAAAGAAAAAAAAAGTTTAAATGAGGAAAAATCTTAGGTATTCTCAGAAAGGAAAATTCCAATAGAGAACTAGAGTTAACTGCTTTTAAAGTAAGTAGTAAATTCCATACTTCTTAAAAAGAAAAAAGAAAGCTAGAGTTATTGTCTTTCTTATTCTTAACGAAGTTTCTATTAGGTATCATGTGAAATATGGCAATCTTTTTTTTAACTGGAGTGAAATCACTTTACAATGTTGTGTTAGTTTCTGCTGTACACTGAAGTGAATCAGCTATATGTATACATATATCCCCTCCCTCTTGGACCTCCCTCCCCACCCCATCCCACCCATCTAGATCATCACAGAGCACCGAGCTGAGCTCCCTGTGCTATACAGCAGGTTCCCGCTAGCTATCTATTTTACACATGGTAGCGTATATATGTCAATCCTAATCTCTCAATTCATCCTACTCTTCCCTTCCCTCCTGTGTCCACCCATCTGTTCTCTACATCTGTGTCTCTATTCCTGCCCTGCAAATAGGTTCATTTGTACCATTTTCTAGATTCCACATATATGCGTTAATGATACGATACTTGTTTTTCTCCGACTTACTTCACTCTATGACCAACTCTAGGTCCACCACATCTCTACAAATGACCCAATTTCGTTCCTTTTGATGGCTGAGTAATATTCCATTGTATATATGTACCACATCTTCTTTATCCATTCATCTGTTGATGAACACTTAGGTTGTTTCCACATCCTGGCTATTGTAAGTAGTGCTGCAATGAACATTGGGGTACATGTGTCTTTTTGAATTATGGTGTTCTCAGGGTATATGCCCAGTAGTGGGATTGCTGGGTCAGATGGTAATTCTATTTTTAGTTTTTTAAGGAAGCGCCATACTGTTCTGCCCAGTGGCTGTATCAATTTACATTCCCATCAACAGTGTAAGAGGGTTCCCTTTTATCCACACCCTCTCCAGCATTTATTGTTTGTAGGTTTTTGATGATGGCCATTCTGACCAGTGTGAGGTGATACCTCATTGTAGTTTTGATTTGCATTTCTCTAATAATTAGTGATGTTGAGCAACTTTTCATGTGCCTCTTGGCCATCTGTATGTCTTCTTTGGAGAAATGTCTATTTAGGTCTTCCACCCATTTTTTGATTGGGTTGTTTGTTTTTGAAATATGGCAATCTTGAGAGCATACCCTCATTTGCAGTTCATGAGAGCTCAAGACTTTTTGGTAGGCAAATGGATTTGTCTAACGTTTTTCCCCAATACAAGCACATCTCAGAAATCCTACTTCTATTACGGTCAAGTAACAAGCACTAGGTCTTTTTCTGTGTAAAATGTTAGAGCATTTCCATTTTTCAACGTCTATTATCTCCTAATCATAAGACTTCAGTAGGAGACAAAGAATAACTCATCTGTTCTGGTCTTATTCACATAGGCAAGAAAATGCTATTACTCCTCATTCATTATTCTTATTTACTTCTGGATAAATCATATCAAAAGTATTTAGTGATGGCTTGCGATAGGCAAGCCAATGAAGTGTACAGAAATTGCAAAATGCAAAATTGCAAAATTACAAAAATGCAAAAGTTTTGTTTCCTAGGCCTGAACCAGATTATTTAGTGATAGTGTATACATTTACCTGGAACTCGCACTGTAGGAACTAGAAATAGAATTACTAAGAATGGGAATTAGTTGAGGGTTATTTCAATTATGCTTTAAGATGAAATACAATGTTTAGAAACATCCTCAAATATAATACCATACTTGATTTTTTTGAACAATATATTCTTTTCAGTAACTGCCATTTCAAGCAGGGTTTCTTTGACTATTTATTTTTATTTGAATAAAGCAAAACTTGAGGAAAATAGTTTGCCAGGTGACTGTTCTTCAAACTCATGTCCCAACAGACCACATGTCTGGCATCCAAGGTCTTAGAAAGTACTATAAAAGCTCACAGGATTTGAATTGGTTTTCTGACAGAAATGAGCACTACTGTTGCACTCCTACTAGTCCTTGGCTTTCTTAAACACAGAAACCTTGGTTTCCATAGTTTTTATGGCTTTTTGGAGGATCGCTAAGATTGGTCTCATGGTTTTGACAATTTGCTCCATCTGATCTGCAGCTGGCTCGATGGTATCCTTGGCATTCTCAGTGTTTAGTGCATCCTGCAACTTTTTCAAGGTGTCTATTGTAGTGGCTTTGGATGGACCAGGACTTGGGCTTTTCTCAGATGTGGTATCATCTGATTGCTCTTTGGTGTCTTTTCTATAGACATCACTTAACTGAAGATTCATGATGGGATATTTCATCAAGAGTGAAAGAGAAGATTCCAAACTCTCAGGGATGTTACCATTATTCAGCACAGAGGCAATGACCGGTGTATGGACATTTTTGAACATTCCTTTGGCTGACTGTTGCAACTCCTTTACACTGCTACTCTTCTCAAGCATAGAGCACATAGCTGTTGCAATCTTGGAACATAAAGGTTCACATTGCATTCTGTCCTGCTTTGCCACCACTGCAGATTGCATCTCCTTAAAAGTTTTGAGCATCTGTTCAAAGACATCCTTAACATTACCATCTTCTTTCACAGACATTAAGAAGATCTGAGTGTTCATACTGCTGTTAAACAATTCAGTGAGTGCATTTGTGAAGGAAACAAGATCGTGCATGTGAAAGAGGAACGTTTTGGCAGCTTGAACAAGCCTCTCTTTATCCTTTTCTGACCCTGAAGACATTTCTTCAGCAGAAATGTTTCAGCACTGTAAAACAAGTAGTAATCCAAATGAAAACTAAAAGTATATTTGTCAACCATAAAGAGACTGAAAGTATAATCCAAACATGAGAATAACTCTTATCAAAGGTTGGAAAGCTATACAAGCTTCAAAACAGAAATGATCTTGTGCTTTAATAAAAAATAGTTAAAACAGAGTAGAATCGGGGGGTTTCATTAAATTTAAACCACATATCAAATATTGCATGGTAGATCCTGAATTAGATATGCTAACATATGGAATGACAGTATTCTCAGGTATTACCCTCAATACCCATCCAATCTAGTGAAAAAGATTGGATAAAACATTAAAAATTACATAGAGGGGCTCTGGTTTCAGTTAAGATAGAGCAAGCACACTCCATCCAATCATTCCCACTGATGACAACTAAAAATCACAGACAGAATATATAAACTATCAAGTAACTCTGAAAGGTGGATAACAGCAGACTGAGGAGGTAGAGAATGCAATATTCCAAAGAAGATCAAGGCCATCTAATACAAACTCCCAATGTCTGTCCTGTCCTTTATGTACTTTCATTAAAACTTGTCTTCTTCTGCAATAGAGAAAAATGTTAATGTCTCTAACCAATGTTCACAATCCTCTTTTGGTATTTCCTCTAGAATTCTGCTCTATCAATCATCTCCCCTTTTCTCTTGTGCTGTGAACTGAAGTCCTCCCAAAATTCATGTGTTGACACCCTGATTTCCAGTATGACTGTAATTGGAGGCAGGTCCTTTACGAGGTAATTAAAGTTAATGAAGTAATAAGGGCAGGGCTCTGGTACGATAGGATTAGTGTCCTTGTAAGAGGAGACACCAGAGAGCTCCCTCCCTCACTCTCTCCACCTTGTGAGGATGCAGCAAGAAGGTGACTGCCTGCAAATCAGGAAGAGAGCCCTCACCAAAAACTGAATGGGCTGGTACTTTGATCTTATATTTCCCAGACTCCAGAGCTGTGAGAAAATAAAACTTCTGCTGTCCAAGCCCCCAGTTTATGGTATTTTGTTACGACAGCCCAAGCTGACTAATACATCTTGCATCCTCCATCACTCCCTCTTTATTTTTCCTTCTCCTTTAACTATGTACATACTCAGTTCCCTATTCAGTTGGTTAGGATTCCAGGCTTTCACTGCTGTGGCCTGTGTTCAATCCCTGGTCAGGAAATTGAGATCCTGCAAGCCACATGGCGCAGCAAAAAAACAAAAACAACTGCCCTATTCAGTTTAAAAAAAAAAGTTTGACTCTGATTTCTCTTCAAGTAATGATTCCATCTCACTCCTTCCTTTAATTCTCAAATTTCTCAAGAGAGAGATTCTTTACGTCATTGTAATTTATTCTATCCCTCACTATTTTCCTGTAGGGCATCAATAAGTTCTAATTATCAAATCTCTTGGCCTATTTCCAGGCCTTAACCATCTTGAGTTCTCTGCGTTATTAAAATTGCTGAATACCTCTTCCTACTTCAAGATTTTTTCCTCTTGAGGGTTCCATGATGCTGTATAACTCTGGTCCTTCTATATCCTCTCTAAGCATATATTTATTTTATAGGTCTCTCTTCCTTATACCACCAATGCCTTTCCAGTCTCCTAAGTGCCACAAGGCTGTGTTTTTGGCCCCCATTATATTGTACACTTTCTCCTTTCAAGATCCAATAACTACAAATGCCATCTGTATGCAGATGACTCCTAAACTTCATGGCGTAGGTTCAGCAATTCTCCTGATCTCCAGATCTATATTTCCAACTACCTACTGGTCATCTCCACATAGTGACTGCACCAGTATGTGCCACACAATTATCCAAAACTGCTCTCACCTCCTCAGAAAACACTTTCTCCTCTTAACCTTTGCCTCATTATTGAGGCTCAAATCCCTTTTCCTTTTCTCTTCCCCATATTAAATCAGTCCCTAAAATTTGTTAACTCCCTTTGAACTTATTTCAATCCATCCCCTTCCTTCCATTCCCATAACTACTACTCCAGTTAACTCTCATCTAGACAACTTTAATGGTCTCACATTTTATCTCAATATTTTTGTCAAGGGGTCACAAACTGGCAATCCACAGGCAAAATCTAACCAGCAGATATGCTTTGTTTGACCTACCACAGTGTATTCTCAAATTTTTTATCAGTTGCAAATTTAAAAATTGAAACATAGAAATCTGGATTTCTACTGATTATTGAAAAAATGAAATTAACTGGCAGCATTAAGTCCTTTTCCTGAGTTGGAGAAATTTCCTAGAGCTGAGGTTGTCTCCTTTAGACTAGACATTCACCCTCTATATCCTATTGTCTTACACTAAGTGTTTCAATTACTTACATATCTTGTCCAGTTACTACAGGCATTGGAGTTGGTAACCCATGTTTTATTGTCCATACCCACTAATCCAGTTTGTATAAACTGACTTTCCTGAAATCCAAACCTCCTAATATTATCCCATAACCAAAAACCTTCGATGGTTCAGTATTGCCTAGAGAATAAAATACAATTTCCTAGCATGGCATCTAAGGCCATCAACAAACTGCTCTCAAGTTTCCACTACTTGCATTCCCTTCACTGCTCCCACATATACTCTGTGCCACCAGCATAGTGGGTTAATTTTGTTCCCTGAAAATGCTCCACAGTTTTTTGTTCACAGTTTTCCCTTCACCTGCATCATCTCCTTCATACCCCACCTCCTAACACATCTATTGAAATCCTACTTATCCATCCATACATACTTCGACTACACTGGCCACAATACTTTTTTCCCTTTTTTCCCATGTTCCTACATGGTGGGTCCCTAGGCTATGTCAAATGCAAAATGACCCAGAGGGACAAAAGTAATCTACTACACCTCACTTGGTCCTTCTTTAGAACTATAGGGCAGCACCTTTAGATTTTACAATCCAAGTCTCCTAGCTGGCATCTTGGTTCCCAATCCTCTACCCACTCAATAACAACAGGAATTTTTGTTGTTAACATAAGAATAGCTATCATTTAGTAAGTTTTTGCCATAAAACAGGCACTGTGCCAAGTATTTTACATTTAGTATCTCATAGTCCTTTTATGCCAATCCATAAATTACAAACTAGTAAATTACAAATCACTAGAGGCTGAGTGATTTTCTTGCTTCTGATGTGTCTTTGCTGTAGGGGAATCAGTGGGGATTAGGACAGAATCTAGAGAAAGAAGCATGGGAGACTCTGATTTAAGGGAAAGGAGTCAAATTGATCTTTAAGGTTTTTATATTGTCAAGACAATTAACCAAGATGACAAGAGAGATAGTGATAAAGAGCAGAGAACCAGCCAGGAAAGAAGAGCACACACAAAAAAAACACATTTGGCTGAAAATATCTGTATCTATATCTCTTGAGAACTTAGATCAATCAGCAACAGGTACAAAATGCAACAAAAGCTAAAGGAAGTTTAATGTCTGGAAAAGTTGACATGATGGGAACCCAAATCTGAGAGCTTCAATCAAAGAGGCATCTTGTCTACTGAATTGAATTAGCTCAGTTGGATAGCACTTTTCAACAACAAAAAAGTCCATTAAAGAACAAAAATTTTAATGTTTTACCATTGCACTACTAATTACTTATAATTATTATAATAATTATTATAATTATTACTTATAATTAATAAACTTAATATATACCAATTTTATAGTAATATAGAAAATAAAAGAATTCTGAGAACTAAACCATGCAGAAACAGTCGATGAACCAGACAGGCAGAGGGACCCAGCAGAGACTAGCAAAGCCTGTAAGTCATCACATTCCATTAGAAACATCCAGTTGAAACCAGATGAAAAAGCACTGCAGCAATACTCCCCAACAACTGCTGGGACCACTGAACTCAGAAACACAGCAAGGTAAGCAATATGGGTATTTCTATCAGTATTGATATAATACTCTGTTTCTCCATATTAAAGGGCGTTTGCAGTAACAGGTCAGGCTTGAATCCTAGTCATAACTATAATAAAGCAACAAAACAACTTTTTTTAAGCGGATCCCATGACATGTTCCTGGTGATCATTTATGTCTCTGAAGACACCAAGAAAGAAGAAAAATAACAGCTTATATAATTAAGTCAGAGGGGATGATATAGTAGTAAAGACATCAATTTTACAAAAGAATAAGGATGAAATGACCCCTTTGTGAATGTGTATTGTTTACATGGAATGTAACATTTCCTTTTATGTCTTTAACATTAATTTAAGCATTCAGTATCTGTGAAAATATGAATGTGTGATCTAATTCTAGTTAATGTATAGCACTTATGCTCCTTCATAAGTTATATTACATTTAAATATCACTGGGCCTTTGCTGTGTGTCTCCAAATAGACTGTTATCTTCCTGAGGGCAAGGAACATTGTCTACTCAAGGCATATGGCAGAGGTTTCTCAAGTGAACATTTGATAAATGCTGGTGAATGACCTAGATATTCTGCTTTCTGGTCAGAAATATTCTTTTAAAGACTTTATATCAGAGTGTCATCACACCATGATCAACCTTGTTTTTTTTAATGAAAGGCCATGGTTTTGATTTAAATTAAAGAAGGAAGCTCAGAACTAGTTAGTAGCTGTTATTTTCTCCTGAAATGCTTCTGACTTTACCATACCCTATACCCACACTCCCAGATAAGTGAACCTTGCAGGATAGCTGGACCCAATATGGGTAGTGAGGACAAGAGACACATTGGAGAAAGGTAAAACCTTAGAGAGCACTAATGACCAAACATCAGAAGCTTGGACAGGGTCATGGTTTTTCTTTTTTTCTTTCTTTCTTTCTGTTTTTAATTGTTATTATGGGAAAAGTTCAAACATACACAGAAGTAAAGAAAATAATATAATAAACTCCCACACCCCCATAACCCAGCTTCAAAAATTATCAAAACAAGTTTGATCTTATTACTTCTATGAAGCTACTCCAATCTACCTTCTAGATTATTTGGAAGCAAACCTCAGTATCATTTCATCATTAACTTTTTCAGGATGGATTTCCACAATGGCAAGAACTCTTCAATTTGACCTTATGCTCCTCAAACCAATAATATTTAACAGAATTGTCTTTGACTTTGAAACACACCCAGTGTCCTGCTGTAAAAATTTATTTTTGATGTCAGTGTAAAAGTTTTTGGAATGCATTTGCAATACATATCAAAAGTAATATAAATTTTTATTCCTATTGATTACATAAATTGTATATTTATATAATCTGAATTTCCTCTGGAAATTTATCCTGAGGAAATAATCCAGATAATTGAAGAGGGAAAAAAGAACTATGTGTATTAAAATACTTATATTAAGACAGTGAAACAATTAAGAATTTGTTAAATTATGGTAAAGATATGTGAAATACTTTATAAAATATAAATATATTTTATATAACCAATAAAATAATTATAAAACTAGAAATAAGGGAAGTGTTTAAGTAAATTAATATAAGATGAAATTTTATTTCTTATTATTACAACTTGATAAAAATACTTATGCATTTAAATAAACTTTGGAAAGGAATAATAAAAGAAAAACAAGATGGTAGGTTTATAGGTGTTTTTCCTCCTACATATTAAAGTGTTTATATATCATTGCTATAAACTTTTTATTTTAAAATACTTTGGTTTATCAAATCTTTTAATTTCATCATGTTATAATTCTACCGTCTATCAATGCACAATCACCTGTCACTTCCTCCATGAATCTTCCTCTAATGACCTCCATATCAAATTTTCTCTTTAAATTCCTATAGCACTTGACAGTCAATGCAGTACTGTTATTCACAAAAGTATCCTGAGAAATTTTTACTTACATATGTGATAATCAATACATTTTTATTTTGCAAGGTGGCTCCTTTCCTGAAAAACTAAAAGAACTGTATAGTATCACTGAATAAACTTTACCTTTTAGATACAATCATCAGTATATTTCTCCCATTTCTTACATGCTCTTTAATCATGAGTGTTTACTTCTTATTTCAACAATACTGATGAGTTACGTCCAATAAGAATCCATCTGAAGCTAGTCTTTGTTTTCATTCCAAGTTCCTAAGATGAGCAGATCAAGTATCAGTGCTTCCAGATTTGTTTACTTCCTTTTTTTAAATAAAATAACAAAGCCAAAATACGTGTGATTTCCGAACTTTATTGTAGCAAAAGAACTCGCTCATCACACAAACTTTTCCCACCCACAGCCCAAATAGAGCAGCAAAGAAAGCATAGGTGCTTCAGCAAAGGCTGGGGTGAAACTGGCGTGCCAGAGACCAAGCACTCCACCTGCTGGCTAACAATTCCCCATCAGGCTGCCCCAGGGCTCTTTAGAACTTATTTCATGAACCACTACAATAAAATGCTCAAATAGCCACACAAATTCGGCTGTACAGAAGTGGATGGTAACTGCCCATCACTAACAGGGAGCATTATCATGTTATAACAAATAGTGTAAAAGTTCACATCTGCCATACAAAAGATGCAGGTGATCAGAGCTGGATTAAGTACACCACTTAGCTACCTGCTGATGCCCATCTTATAAGTCATTTTTTAAAATGACTTTAAAATGATTTTAAAAGACTGAACTTTCACGTCAATATTTAAAAGATCTGCCCTGAAAATGCAGTAAGATAGAGGACAGTGTATAGCCCAGAACTCTCAGCTACAGTACTGTATATCACTGGTAAGACACCACTTGAGGCATGCCTAAGTAACAACTGTGATCTTTAAGAAGGGTGACTCCAACTAACTGCAGACCTTTTTTGTTTTGCTGAGACAAGTAAGCAATTCGAGCATCAGAACTAAATTGTCATGGGCAATAGTTGAAATGCTGCACATTGCCAACTAAGATTTTTCATGCGGTGTATAACCTCTCCTCTAAGTATCAAGCACATATTTAAGAGTGTCAATTGGAAAGGTACAAATTGTTAACCCTCCCTAGATGATGGACTGTCTCCACATGGCCCCAGTGTAAATATTATTAAAGTATGAGTTCTTTTGTTTTGTTTTTCGTTTGCTTAATTTTTATTGGAGTCTGGTTGATTTACAATGTTGTGTTACTTTCTGCTGTACAGCAAAGTGAATCGGTTATATGTACACATATATCCAGTCTTTTTTAGATTCTTTATCAATATAGGTTATTACAGAGTATTGAGTAGAGTTCCCTGTACTATACAGTAGATGCTTATTAGTTATCTATTTTATATAGAGTAGTGTATATATGTCCATCCCAATCTCCCAGTTTATCCCTCTCCCCATCCCCTGCTTTCCCCTGGTAACCATAAGATTGTTTTCTACATCTGTGGCTCTACTTCTGTTTCGTAAATAAGTTCATTTGTACCAAATTTTTAGATTCCACATATAAGTGATATCATACGATATTTATCTTTCTCTGTCTTACTTCAAAGTGTGAGTTCTTTAAAATTTGAATTTGCACAAGGCAAGCACCACCTCTATCTATAATTTTGTATGACGTAGTGCTTTCAACTTGACGTTGTAGTTTTAAATCTGTCTTAACTTCCTAACTACATTAGAAATTTCACGAAAGCAGGGACCATGTCTCTTTCATTTCTGTATGCTCTACAGAGCCTAGCATACTACCTTATAATAAATAGTAAAGTACTACTCTCCATTAGGTAAATTGCTACTGAATTATTAAATTACTTCCTTCATCGGGCTCTTCAAATTTCACTTGTCCCAAACATAATTAATTGGTTTCACCTTCAAACCCCACCTCTCCTCCACCTAATTCTCTAGCATTTATCTCACTGTTGGGATGGAAGTAATTTTAAGCTGTATTCAGTACTGGGGCAGGTATGGTGGCAGGGCTGCTGAAGATCTCTTTGCATAAGGAGCCCTCAGTCTCTTTCCCCAAGGAAGAAAAAAAAGAAGGTAAGCCTGACTCAGAAAAATAAGTCTCTTTTCGTTAGATGTGAAAAATAATTCTGAGCACATCATGATATCTCTTACTCAGACTTGTTATTGGCACAAAATTATGGATATCTGCAACCTAGGAAGAAGGGTATAAAAGAGCATGTGCAAGGGCTTGAGTATGTAAAGGAAAGAAAATACTACTTTTGTAGCTGAAAAAGTACTGTATCTGATTTCTGGTAAGACTGAAACTTTTCATCAACTAATTACTACTATTTCTTCTTTTACTGTCTGTTCAGAGTTGTTTGCATGTTTACCTGACTGTTTTCTGTATTAATAACAAGACTAGTTAGAAACCAATACTTTTTAATATTTCCTGTATTTTAACCAGTTTGCTTTCAGTCCTTCTTACGTGGTCATCTTTTAGTCAAATTTTTGTCTGACTTTTTCCCATTGGTTTTACGCTTATAAAGCCCTTCATATACATTTGAAAATTATCTGTTTTCTTCTAGCTATTTTATCATTTGATCTTTTTTACATATGTTACACTGATATTTTTTAATTAATGTTTAATCCCCCACAAGCTAGCCCATTATGCCAGGATCATTTATGGAATACTAATTTCTATTGATTTGGGATTCTACATTTATTATACGTTAAGTCAAATGTATAGAAGGGTCTTCTTTGGGGACTATTTTGTTCCATGATTCCACCTACTCTTGCACCTATACAATACTTGTTAATATTGTGTTTTTATACTGTTTTAATGTTTGAGGAGGAAAAAGTCCCAACATTACTTATCCTGAAAAAAGTAAGTAGTCTCACCTATTTAGTCTTTCAGATGTATTTTATGATTAATTTGTCAAGTTGTGTTAAAACAATGAATTAATTAGGAAGGAAGTGACCACTTGGAAACATTCAACCTCCCATCAAGGAGGAAGGTTCATCTCTCCATGTGTTTATCCTGAGGTAAATAGAACCACACATCTTTTCTAAAAGCTATGCCTTCAGATAATGGCATATGACAGCTTTTAGAGAAATTTCCCACTTTTTCAGGGTAAGAAAGACTCCTCTCACCTAAATATCTGGATGGGGATGTAGTTGGTGATCTTCTAAATTCAAAGTCAGAAACTGGAGTTTTCACTTCATGATAAGATCTGAAAACTAGGAACCAAAAAAGAAAACAGTTTAACGTAAAATTTCTAGGAGAAAAAAGCGGAAATCAAAGTCCCAATTTGTGGTTATCAAATTGCAGTTTGCAACCCAATGGTGAGTTTGTGGAATATTTAATAGTCCTTTAACAAACAATTTCTTTAAATGGAATTGAGATATATTCTAATTTGTGGACATTTGTATCTGTCACGTGTGTGTGTGTGTGTGTGTGTGTGTGTGTGTACTGTATCTAAATCAAAGATAAAAATGAATTTCTGACCATTGATACAATTTATTCCACCAGGGGTACTAGTGCATTTTCCTAAAATTAAGAGCAAAAATTATGTTCCTAATCCATTTTCAAAATTTTTCCCCTTTCCATTTCCAAACTGTATCTTTATAACTTGGAGGATAGGTTATGTTCATGTTTACTTTCTTGAGAGAAAACATCTTCATTCCTTCCCCCCATGCTTCTGAGGTTCCCAATATCTAGGCTAAGAACAGTGGTCCTAGAAAGATAGGGCCCAGATTAATTAGCATGTTGTTTACACAAAGAGAGGAGGAGCCAGATCCCACACAGGTATAAAGGACTCCATTTTCTCCTTCTTTTCTCCCAAGAATTCAAATGAAATATTCAAGTGTCAGGCACATAGTAAGCCTATTCCAGGTGTGCATACTGAGGAACATTGTTCTCACTAGCTTCAAACTCTCACCCAAATTCACTCAGAAGGGTGTAGCTTATTCCTTCTTTCTCTGAGCCCAAAGTACAGACACAAGCAGGCTACAAACACCAGGCTTATTTTATTCATTCTGTGATGTACTCTTGCTACTTATTCCCTAATACCTTTGTGAAATGACATTATCTTCTTTCTGAGACTAACTCTAGCGTATCTGAATAACGGTCAAGTGTAATATAGACAATTCTAAATAATTTAATTTATAAGCTTTGCCAATGGAGAACCAGAGAGATAGTCAGAACTGCCCTGTCCCTTCCATGATGCCCACTGTCTCTCCAAGTGAGATTTTAATCTAAGGAATCTTGAAAATAAACTGTTATCACGAGGATTTTTTGGTAAACATTCTAATGTTATATGTGTTGCCTTTGGATGCCTCTTAGGTTTGGAGAGCAAATAATTGACCTGTAAAGACATAAAGAGTGTTTTGAATATTGTAAATTAAGATAACAGAGTATACAAACAAAATTAGCAATTATTGCCCTGTAAACTGAGAGATCTTAATATTCTTCTGATCCTACTAATTTAATTCCAAATATTAGAAAAATCAGTCTGGTTGGTCTATTCAATGTGGTGACTAGAGTTTGAGGAAATTAAGGGTCACTGGTAATCAAGAGCTAACCATTTCAAATATGTTATTAAATATTACTTGGAAATAATCACATTTATTAATAATCAGATGCTAGATAAACACAAATCTTTCCTATCTAGGATCTCCCCCCTCCACAAGATCTAATGCCATAATTAATGCATCAACAAGTTGCATTATGTCACCCGTATTTTCATACACTGACTCCAAGTTTCAAAAACTTGTTTTGAAGAACTTGTTGAGTTTCCTGAGAAATTCCTTAGATAGCATACTACTTTGCTATTCATAAAGTAAAAGATTTCCTGGTCAAATCTATACATCCAGCAGATATTTTTCAAGATTTCTAGTAAAGATTTACTATTGTATTTTTCAGAGATCATATTTGAAATATGGCTCAAAGTGACTTCCTCTACCCAGAGAACCCAAAAAGGCGACAAGAAGTAAATCGTCTTCACCAGGAGCTCCTTGACTGCTTATCTGACAGCTTCCATGCCACCAATAAGCTGATTGGGGTTTTAAATACGCACTTAGGGTGCAGGCTGGCCTCCATTGAAATGAAAAGAGATGCGACCATCAAAGAAAACTGTGATATCATCATCCAAGCCATGAAGAAAATCCAAAAAGAATTGCAAAAGGTTGATGAAGCACTAAAAGATAAACTAGAGCCAACCCTTTATAGAAAACTTCAGGATATTAAGGAAAAAGAAACCGAGAAAATTGCAATAGTACAAAAGGTTATTTCAGTCATCCTGGGAGAAGCTACTTCTGCTGCCAGTGCAGTGGCTGTTAAACTCGTGGGCTCAAACATCACAACCGGCATAATTAACAAGTTGGTCACTGTGTTAGCTCAAATTGGTGCTTCTCTCCTTGGTAGCATAGGAGTTGCTGTTCTTGGCCTTGGCATAGATATGATCTTCCGTGCCATCCTGGGAGCAGTGGAGAAAACACAGCTTCAAGAAGCCATCAAAAGTTATGAGAAGCATCTGGTGGAATTCAAGTCAGCCTCAGAAAAATATCATCATGCCATTATTGAGGTCACCAACACAGTGAAACACCAAATGAAATAAACAGTTACTTTATTTGCCACTGGAGTATTTTTCTGCTTCTTTCTCAGTAATAGTGTTTTGCTTCTTTGATTAGGCTCATTTTCCATAAGCTTCCAAATAGACATAAATACCATAAACAACTCAGAAAGAGGACTCAAAGATGCTAAAACTAGATGACTCTAGAGAGTCTTCTATCAACGATGAATGCCTGGATCAGTTGGTGCTAGACCCTGTGAGTAAAAGATTACATCCTGGTATGTCTTCTCACTGTGCTCTACAGATCAACATTAGGGTGAATGCTATTGTAGAGCAGCAGGTGTAGGGGTTACCTTTTCCTTTTCTAATTCCCAGTCAAAATCCTTCAAATTTGCATTGAATGCACAGACTTTCACTTCTACCACCAGCTCAGACATCATTTAGTTCTAAGGGACATACTTAGTAACTTCTGCCCACATGCAAACACTGAGCCTTCCAATGGAATAGAAATACTACCGTAATTTTGACCATCAGTTTAAATCCAATTATCTGTAAGTTGGAAGAGACTGAAATACGGTTTGTAGCAATTTATGTCAACGATGAAAGGAGGCAATCGTTCTGTAAACTTCTACTAATTACACACTGCAATCTGGATGGAACTTTAAGAGGGAAAAGTTAAAACTATAAAAGATAAAAGTTGTTTCTATAGTTGCAATCAACCCTGACCAACTGTGGTGTGATGATTAAATATCCCTCAAGTGAATGCCTGAACACTCTGGAACATTTTCAAAACAAGCAAACAAGCAAATCCCAGGTATATAAATGAATTTAGTATGCAGGAGAAGAAACTGCTACTTACTGTTTTAAGAATTGTCATTTAAAGGAAAGTTGTAATTTATTACTTTATGAGTTTTAAAAAAAGCGAAATTTTATTTTCAATACTAGCAGAAAGCTTCCCTTGCTATATAAAACTTTAGGTGATCCATTTCATTAATTATCTAATTTCAGGAAAATCCCAAGGCTACAGAGGCCTAATGGTTCAGTTGAATTTCTGAAGATGCCAAGTGTTTGTTTTCTAAATACTTCACCAACCAATTACTCCCCATTGAGACTCCTAGGTTCTACTTACAAATTTATTTTAAAAGTCATTCATGTTGACAAAGCGAGAGAGTGGCATGCACATATATACACTACCAAACGTAAAATAGATAGCTAGTGGGAAGCAGCCGCATGGCACAGGGAGATCAGCTCAGTGCTTTGTGACCACCTGGGGTGGGGGGGTGGGATGGGGAGGGTGGGAGGGAAGGAGACGCAAGAGGGAGGAGATATGGGAACATATGTATATGTATAACTGATTCACTTTGTTGTAAAGCAGAAACTAACACACCATTGTAAAGCAGTTATACTCCAATAAAGATGCAAAAAAAAAAAGTCATTCATGCAAAAATGTTCGTTACAGTTGATTCTTGCATCCAAGTACAAGAAATGTCTTTAAATTTTAAAAGCTCAACATATCTTAAAACTTAAAAAGCTACATGAAATACTGTAGTATTTCAAATGTAGTCTTTTCTTTACCTTGTCATTGCTTTTATAAATGTGCAAAATGTCACAATTTAGTTCATCTTCAAAATTAAATTTTATTTTGTTTTTATTACCTGATTCATAAACTTATATCTTGTTACTGCTCTTGTGGACTCAGAATTCAGTCTAAAACCAAATCAAGAATTTTCTCAAACAAAGGTTAATTCAGGTAAGGGATCAATCTTATCAGTTAAGCCCACATTTAAATATTTTCTAAAAATTAATACATATCTCCGTCAAGATTTTGGAATATTTATAACTGATAGTAAGAATCTAACATTTTCCTATAAGTGATAGTACTGATATTTTTTTAATGTTTAAACTCACCTTTAGGGGGAAAAGAGTCTTAAAGAGCAGATAAAAGATAAGGAAAGGACGAAGATTAGAGCTAAGGGAATAATCCCCTTTGGTGACATCATAAAGGATTTTTGGTGGGTGAAAAGACCAGAAACTAAAAGAGCCAATATAAACCAACCTCCACACTCGTAAATTTAAAACTGATTGTACAAATATCCCCATATTTCCTCTTCAAAAACACTAATCCTGTAGATTAGCACTCTGGGATTCTAACACGGGCACTGAATTGCTTAGGTCTACAAATATTCTTCGTGTAAGAACAACTACTGAACTTCCAGGCGCACGGCACGCTAGCGAAGTGTATCTTCCGGGGATTCGTTTTCTAACGGAAACTCCCGAAAGATCGCACGCGCTTACGTCATGAAGGAAACAAAAAACCTACAATACACAATTCAAGGTGACAGGCACAGCGCTAAACATTTCCCTATCAGTTATCCGCAGGCCTCTGGCGTCTCAATAAATAGAGCTCCCGGAAATTAGGTCGGAATGCCTGCGGCGAGGTAGGACAGTGGTCCCATCAGCCAATCATATATTCCCCACCCCCCCGCTTCATTTTCATATTCTTATTGGGCTAGGTAAGTGTCAATCAACATGAAGCTCTTGTACTGCGTAGTGAAGGCGGGCTTTTAGTCTATAACCAACCAATTCGGTACTGTATTGTAGCGGAAGACACTCTGGTCCTGGAGTTCTTGGTTACTCTCTATGGTTCCAGGGCGAAGAAACGCTGAGATCTTCGGCCCGTAGGGACAGGAAGTGACGTAAGGATGGCGGAGGGGCGCGAGGTTTCAAGATGGCGGGGGCTGGGGGGCTGACTGAGAGGCAGAGGTGAAGGGCCCTACGAAGTCAAAGAGGCCGAGAATCGTCCCCTCCCCGCTTCTCACAGTCCCAGGAGCCCAGCAGAAGTGTGAGTGTGCGGGATCGTTCCGCTCCGTTTTTTCATCTTTCCCGTCTCTTCCCGGGGCCCACGCGGTTGCCTCAGGGACACCAGGCCCTTCCGCCCTGCTCTTCCTCTCAGCAGTTGGGGTCTCCGCGATCGCGGACTAGGGGATCCCCTGGGGCGGCGCGGCGTCCAGCGGTCAAACGGCTGACTTCGCCCGGGTCGGTCAGCGCCGCCTCCTGACGTTGCCCCGTTGGTTGCCTTAGGCTTGATGTCCTGCCCCTCGAGGCAGGGTCAACTGTCGCTGTGGTTCTGGCAGTTGCTAATGCTGTTGGCTCCTATGGTGGACCTGGGCTCCGTCCCTTTGTAGCCTCTTTGACTGTTGAGAGTTCCCCTGAACAGCCCCGTGACCCGATTTCCCTATCGCCTCTGCTTTGAGATAGAAAAGTAGTCTGTGCATGCAGACTAAGACTCCAGTGTCTTCTGTAAAAATTTTCTGTACTTCGTATCTATTCTAGGTTTCAGGTGTGGGAGAGGAGGGTTAAAAACACGGGCCTGAGGGTAATTGAAAGAGGGAGGCAGAAAAGATCCAGGCCATCAAAGATGTAAGAGCTTCTATTTCTGCTAATTTTGCTTGTTTCCGCTTCCTTCTCCCTCGCTCCCGGTTTTTCTGAGAAGGAAACCCTTGACAGGGCAAATCAGTTGCCACTGGAACAGCTTGGAAGCTTTTAGCAGAAAGCAAGGCAGTTGAACAGTTGCTGAAAGACGCATTCACCAATAAACTTGCCTGACAGAATCTTCATGAAGGGAAGGTGTAATTCTGTGGTCTGCTAAAAAATCTACCTCATGATCTTACCTTTCCCACCCTTGAAAAGTGTCTGCTTTCAAAAGGAAGGAAATTTATCACCCTTTATTATTGGAAAGAGCAGGTATCAAAAAGCTAAACCTCATTCATTTGGAATGACAGGAAGAAGGGATATAATAGTTTTTCGGTTAATTAAAATGTTGATTTATAAAATAGGTTCCCTCAAACACAGTTATCCCTTTCGTTTACCTTAAAAAATACAAATCAGGAGTCAAGTAGGCATTATTAATAAAATATCTTAATGTTGATGTTTTTAGAAGATCTCTCATATAATATCACTACTTTATTTTGAATATTTGTGTTTTTAGTTATGGTTTAAGCTTCTGCTTGAGCGTCAGGAATTACTTCTGAATTAGAACTAAATCTGAATTAAATAGGCTTAAATTAATGAGTTCTTACTGTCTTAGAGATGATGGGAATACATGCCAAGAAACCGTGGAGAGAGGCAAGGCTGAGCTATTTGTCGTTGAGCCCAGGTCATTACCCTGTTCCCTTTTTATTCCTTTTTCACCCTACATGTAAATAAAGGGAGGAAATAGGAAAAGAACTAATGGCTTCTTATCTACATGGTTTGTCATATTGTTGAGGCATTTTTTGATTGATTTTTTTCAATTGACGAGTCAGTGCTGTGATCCAGAAAAGAAAGTTAATTGACGACTTAATGATATTCATAGCGGTCTTCAGACCCATTACCATTATGTTATAAATAATAATAGGAATCTAATTTTTTGTGGTTAGAGAAGTTGAGGCTGTCTTTCCTGCACACAAAAGTCAAAACTAGGGAAAGAACAAGGTCTTAATAATAAGTTTCTTTTCAGAGATTGGTAGGAAGAAAATTTTATGAATATAAAAAGGAAGAAATTTTGTAAATCTAGGAAAAATAAGCTATTTTTTTGTCTTTGCAGGTTTTTAGGTTTTGTTTTTGTTTTGTTTTTTAAACAAGCAAGTAAACCACACAAATTGTCAACATGGGACGGAGATCTACATCATCCACCAAGAGTGGAAAATTTATGAACCCCACAGACCAAGCCAGTAAGTGTCCATTAATGTGGAATGATGAAGAAGAGGGGTGGTAAAAACTGTAAGCTTTAGGGAGTGTACTTTATTATTTCTTAATTATAAGATCAGCAGTGTTAGGAGGTGTCAGTTGTATAGTTATCTAGTGTTCTAGTGGGCACATGATTAAAACTTTTAAGCATGAAAAAAAATTAGTACCCGTGTTTCTAATTTGATTGACTTGCAAAGTAGAATTGGCAATTCTCTTTGTATTTGGAATTTTGAACAAATTTTTTGCAAGTTCTTATTTAGTATTTTATGACATCTTTTCAGAGTCATGGTTATTTTTTAAGGAACTTAAAAATGTCTTGAGACATTTTTGGTTGACATAATTGGAAGGGTGCTATTGGCATCTAGTGGGTAGAGGCAAGAATGCTGCTAAATATCCTGCAGTGCACGAGGCAACCTCCGACAGTAATCTGTATTAAATTGGAGAAAATGCTAACGTTCAGGATTTTAAAGTTTTATATTCTTTCTCTCTCCCTCTCTTAAGGAAAAGAAGCTCGGAAGAGAGAATTAAAGAAGGTACGATTTCAGAAGCATCCTGTTAGATATAAATGTAGTTTGGCACATCTTGTTATTTGAGATGAGTGGATTTAGAAAACATTTCCAGTTATTTTCCAGAAAAGATATTTTATGCTTCTCATAACAAACCGTAAGATTTACTAAGCCAAAATACTATACTTAGAAACTGAACTGAAATAATTTTGTAGATGAGCTCATGATGGGTTACTGTAACATGGTTTATTTGATTACCCTTCCCAGTGACTTAAATACATACTTAAAAAAATAATTCTCTTTTGCTATTTATTATAACATACTGCTTTGTTAGAAGCCACTGAGTTAGTGAATGGAAGTAAATGTGATGATAAATAGCTTTGTACATCCATTTTCTTGACTATGTAGTTGTTGAGTTTGTGGCAAAAAGCTTCCCCAGAATAAGAAAGGGTTTACTTTTTAGTATCATACTGTAACACATTGAGAGAACCTAGTTTTTTAATAGTTTTCAACTGTTTATTCTTGTTTCA